AAGTTTTGCATTAGAAATGCTGTTTTATTACTCTCTCATACATAAAAATAGACTATAAGTCTTGGATGTGCTTATTATTACCTTCTCTAGATCCCGATAATTGGAGAAAGAAAGAGTATCCCAAGCATTTCAGTTATTACCACCGCAATCAAATGCTAGAACTTGTGAAAATACCATCGAATTTAGAATAGGATGGAAAACAATTCGAAATTAACCAAATTTCACCAGGGGCGTATCTATAAAAATTTCACCGGATTTTATGTTAGTCAATATTTGATATATCAAATTGGTTTTTGTTTTGTTTGAAAGCTTCTAAGAAGAACTTTCTTAAAACGGATTGAATTATTCTGTGACGTCATGGTTCATGACCGCTTTTTCCCAAAATAACAGTAAATTGCAAATTATTTTTTATTTTTAAATAAAACATTACATTTTTATTGAAAATTGTAATCTATTGAACTTAAGATAATAATCTGTTATTGAAAATGGCCGCCTTGCTTGACTAATATAATTTTTAAATGTGTTACTACTAACTGGTTTAAGGAAGAAAATATGGGAATGCATTACCTTTAAAAACTCTTTGTTTACCTTAGTGTTCCCATTGAAACTTTTACAAATTACACTTGAGCTTAAAAATTTCACCCACTTTTATTTTAGTTATTATTTAAGATATTGTGATTTTTTTTCTGTTTGAGAGTTGGAACAAGGACTTTCTTATAACGGATTCAATTATTTTGCGACGTTACGGACTAGGACATTCGGGCGCGGGAACAGTTGGGCGCGGGATCAATTGGGCGCGAGGACGAGCAAGCGTGGGGACGATCGGGCGCAGCCTTTCGGGCGCTGGCCACTCGGGCGCGAAATTCTACATAAATAATACATACTTTTGTAAATTGTAAATTGTGATCCACATTTTTTATTTTTTTTATGCGAAAATGGAATTTGAATTTTCCTCAAACTCGTGATCAGCTTTCTAATCGTGGTATGGTTCATCAATAACTCAGTTTGAAATCGCTGTCCTCGAACTATTGAAGCAGAAGTTCCAATTCGGAAGACATATTCGACAACTTACCGATTGCTCCATCTAAATCTTCTATAGGCACAAACGCCAGGGACTCATTCTTGACTTTAATTTTTTTTTTTCGTATTCTCGACATAACCGGTGGAATATTTTCCATTTGCAAGTATGGAAATATATTCCCCTGCTTGCGAGCATTGGAAATTATATTTTCCAATGGGATTTGTGCTACCCCCTTATGAATAGACGTAGCAGAGTAATTTTGTCCAATAAGATACTATTGTATAAAACAGTATTCAGACCATTCAGTCCACTGAATTTTTAAGTTTCTGTCTCTCTTAATTTCTCTTCGTACATCTAATTTAATAAGGTATATCTTTAAACTCTGTGAGTCAAACAAATTACACACAGATGATTTTAGACAATTCGCACTGCTAGTAGATAAGAAATAAGCAAAGCCTAAAACATTATCAAAGGAGAAATGTCATTTAAGGATTGGATAATTTCTTAATGACAGTGGTGCAAATGGACCTTTGTAAATTACAAACAACAATAGATCATGACATTTATAGAGGAGCAAAACATGTAGAGCAATATTTTTTTTAAACTTTACCGCAAACTACTTGCCTTGAACAGAAATAGGTACTGAAGCATAAAAAGTAGCACTGAAGTACTGATAATGGCCAAAAAGCACTGATTTCAGTACTTTAGAACTGACACTGGCAACGCTGATAACAATTCACTCGATAAAGATCTAGTCGGACGGACGACTGAGCGGTGAGCCAGCTGACCCCAGCCGAGGACAAAATGTTGAATAAACAAGGAGATAATACTACAATCAGAAGCTAAAATTAACTGAGAGGATATATACAGCCTTGATATCGACCAAGGCCACTTCGAGGTACTGCAGATGGATGACACTTCCAGGTGACAGAGGAAGAAATCTAATGTAAAAATTTGTATGTATATATATATATATATATATATATATATTACTATGGGAATATAAGTAGGGGAATCTTTTCCTATGGGAAAATTTTCCAGTGAACTCAACAATCGAGCCCCGGTAAAGTTACCGTCCCAATAAATGAAGTTTTCCCAAATGTTTCCTCAGATTTTTTGTTAAATGAAACAAACACCCTAAAAATTCAACATTTCGTGTTCTTATTGACTATCTAATAGAAATAATAGAAATTTAAACAATTTTAAAGATTAAGGGCTTTACTTTGCAAAGCAAAGCAACCCCTGCTTCAAAATAATCGCTCACCCTGGAACAGTCCTTACTCTTATTGGTATTTTCATTCTGTAGTGATTAATTATTAATTAATTAGTAACGATAAATAAAAATATGTAGGGATATGTAATAATAAAACACTAAAATAGTTAGTTTTGCGTGGTACAAACTGAGACGACACCATAGCATCGTCCGGATTACACCGTTTTTAAAAGTAGTATCATTCATCTAAGAAAATTACATATAAATAAAAAATAACTTTATAAACAACCAACAACGTAAGTTCTTAAGAATTATGTTTGAATTATATTTATTGTTTTATCTCGAAACTTCTTCCTCTGTATTCTTCACGGCCGCGCCCGATTGTCCGACGTTATGACTTACTTTTGGTTTTTCCGGAAATAAGAGTAAATTGCTATTTATGTTTTATTTTTATTTGGCCTGTAGCCTCTTAGAAAAGAACCGTCAAGCCGAGATTTCGTTCCAAATAAAATTACGTGCGAAGAATTTTTTTATTTGGTGGCGCCACTCATCAAGGCCCACAAGGACAGAGTTTTTGCTCTCGGTCCGGGTCCCGCAGCTGATGTACGTAATTCCGCACGTCTATTATCAATTAAGGGCCGACATTTTTCGACTATCCATCAAGGGCTGGAAAGCTTGAGCTCGGCGGACGGACAGTGCGCGCCTTCCCACTTTTAATTACAGTTAGAAAAAAATTTTTTGGGGGATAAATGTGTCTAGCGTTTCTTCGCAATATTAGTTTTTCTTTTCGTTTGGGCGTCACGAAATTAAATAACTCGCCAGTCGCAAAAGTTTGCGCGAAAAGGGTTTAATTAAAAATTAGTTTCGGCATTTGCGGTTATGCTAAAGCATATTTTATTAGCGTTATATTAAAAATCTCTGTATACGTGTATGTATATAGATATATTGCTGTAACGAAGCTTTTTTTGCGAGAAATAAATAGTTGCACGTTATAAATCATATTCTCTTTGCATACGCTATAAGTTTAGTTTGCTGTCGGTACAGTTTCGCCGATATACAAGGTGTGCACCCTCTTAGGCTGGCCGAAATAGGCATATTTTTAAAAACTATAAAAATTAAGTTTACAATATCTATCACAACTTGCGTTTTGTTGAGCTTATTTTTCATAATTTTTTTTTTTTATTTCTAAATCCACATTTTCAACCTTCTACCGCCCCTTTTAGGGATGATAAATTAAAGTTGAAATTTTGACGTACAAAACCTACTAAAAGTTACATTTTAGTGTTTGTATTCACACTGTTTATTTTTAATATTTTTAAATAATATCTTCAGCCCTCTACTATCCCTTTTAACCAATGTTTAATTCTTTTGTCTTTAAAAGAAAACAAATAAATATTAGACGATTAAAACTAAACAACACATTTATTTAAAAAATGGTAAAAAGTACCTAAAGAAATCAAACATAAAAAGCTAACAAATCAAACATAAAAGCTTACAAATCAAATATAAAAAGCTAATACATAAGTACAAAAAAAACAGTAATAAAAAAAATTACTGAATTTTAAACTCTCGTTTACTTTCAATTGTTGGTATAATTTCTTTTGATTTTATTCTTGAGCGAATAATGCCGTCTCTTGATTCTGGACCAATTAATAAAGACCATGACTCTGTAACTAATTTTACGCATCTCTCCACGGATCGAGTATGACAAGGGAACTTCGGAAAATCAAAGTCTGGAATTTCAGTTTCGTTTATAAGGTCCCTAAGATTGTCATTAGTAAAATCCCTTAAAACAGGAGGCGGTGACACATCACAATCATTCCAGTAAATTAACTAAAAGTAATCTATAGCACTGAAATTTTTGGTATCACAGAGTGTCTTACTTCAACGGTTTCTCGACTGGTTTCTCTAGATTTTAAGATTCTTCGTAAAGATAGTTCCCGAACCCATTCACGAGTATCTGCTAGCATACACAAAAATAATGTTTTCGGGGTGTATAAAATACGCGTTTCTTAAATACCAAGACAGTTCAATCGTGTTAAATATATGTAAACTAGCACTAGTAGAACTAAAATTTAGTTTAATATTAAACCATATTGGGGTATACACTTTAATTATGAATACGGCCATATCCGTAAGGCTTGATGTTGGGTTTTTCGTTTCAGCATACAGCCGAAGAACACGATTTGCCATTGTGAGCCATCTAGAGTGCGCTAATTTCCCAGGATTACGGTGTGCTAAATTTGATGAAAAATTGTCGCTTGATACTGAATTGCAAATGTCATACAAATATGATTGATCAGAACTTAAACCTCTAGACATTACAGTTATATTTGGCAACTCACATTTTATTGGGATAAAATTTACAATTTTAAGACGTTCACATTTTTTTAAAGACTACCCGATTTCCCCAGAATATTGACGAGGTCCCACTGTGCTGTGGTCTAAATGTTGGAATAAATGTCTTAATGGCAATTCATTGGCGTGTAGTTGGCAAATATACCATTGTAAAGAACGTTTTAATTCAGTCTCAATATACCTAATAACACCATTTTTATTACCGGTACCATCGCAACCCATAGCCGCCAAATCATCTAGTTCCAAATTGGTTTTAGCAAAAAAGTCCAATATTGCCTTTTCAATTGACTTTGCCGTCTCTGTAGTGTTCTTCGACAAGTTTTCTTGTATAATATACCGTTTTCCTTCTCTTGCAGTAAAGTTTTGTCCTTTCTTCCATCAAAATAGACTTCTTATTCTGTTATCACTTTAAAACTCCTTCTTTGGAGTATTTCTAAATTTATTTCGCTCTCTTGCCACTTTATTTTCGTCTATTTTCGACGAACCTTCTGTGGTAATTATTTTTACATCTTTTAATACTGAACTAGCAATCGCAGCAACTGATCCATCAGATATACCTTGTTTATCGCATACAAGACCTAACGAATGTAACTTTGTTTTCATTTGAGTATTTTTTGAGGTAGAGGTTAAGTTTGGATTGATAAAGTCGTCATCTGAAGAGGATTTATATTTTGAGGGGCTAGAGTTCTGACCCTGATAATATTGTAGTTGAATCGGTGAGTGAAAGAACAATACATATCCAAAATGACCATTTTGAGAAAAACAAAAAAAACTGTTTTAAAGAAAAACTATGGGTTATTCGGCCTAATTATGTATTGTGAAGTTATAGAATTTTTGTTAACCGATAATAATACGTACATAAATTTAAAAATAAAATTATGCAAAATATGATATTTGAAAAAAATGACTTGCAGTTATACTGTTCTTTCACTCAGTTTAAAAAAAAATGCTTTAATTTTTTTTGTAGCTTTATTGATTCTTATTTAACAAACTTATTTGTAATTTTTTAATCAGAATCTTCATTTTTGACTTTCCAAGAAATAATATATGGTTGTAAAACTCTAGGATTTCATCACTAAAGTAAAATAAAAGTATCTTTATATTCGCTATCTTCTTCACGTTAATAGGGACAACTTCTGAGTATGCCTTTTCTAATGGCGAGCATACACGTAACGGTCTACCGGAGAGGCCTACCTGTGCAGGTATGCCTGCGCAGGTCGGCTTCATGTCTACCTGTGCAGGCACACCTGCACAGACAGACCGTAGCGTGTATGCCCGCCATAAGGATAACTGCAGATTGGCATTAGGTTTGATATCAGTCTAATGCGCCCCACACATAAAAGTGTGCGAGAGAAAACCACCTATGAAGGCACTTGTAGTAACATATCCAGAAGTTTTACCAATGTATGTAAACTGGCTGTACTGTGGAATGACAAAATTAGATTTTTGTTCATCAGCTGATTTAGAGTTTTTTTTATGAAATTGCGACCACCATTTGAAATCTGTGTTAAATTTGTCTACGGAACGACATGGCTACTGAGTGCAGAAACAGTACATGCGCTGTACTTGTACTGTTCTTTCACTCAACCAAAAATTGAACAAGCCCCCATCGCTCGTATGATGTTGGTCTGTGTATTATTCTTTCGCTATGTGATAGGCCTATGGATTTTAAACAATTTGCCTATCTCAGTTAAAATTACCGTTTTTGGCACTTGTACTGTTCTTTCACTCACCGATTCAGTTGTTTGAGAGGAACAGCCGGGTCTTAATAAATTGCAAGATTCTGATCCATATTTTTTTAGTCTTTCGATTTTTCTGGATTGCCTTTGTTTATTCGACAATATTTTCTTTGTTTCTTCACGATCTACATTTTCTATGCTCATTTTTCTGACCAATCTTTGATCAGAAAGAAAATCTGGTTCCTTAGTATGTACTTTCCGGATCTTTTCATACATGTATGCAGAAAAATCGCATTTACAAGCAGCTATGTTAAGTATTTTTTTATGACACTCTATTTTAAATGTTGGGATATTTTATTAAATTCTTATATTTTTCATAATACTTCCGTATTAATTGCACAATTATGTCTTTTGAAACAGTTGGAATTGATGTCTCTTTCCAAATATTTTCACTGAACTTGTGCCTACACAAGTTCAGTGCAAACTTCTAAACCACTTGGTTCTTTTCCACTATATTTTTGATATTTTAGTTCATAGCGTATGAACGGTATACTCAGACATTGCAATTAATCAAATTCCAGTATTTTATTTTAATAGCTCTGTTGAAGTTAACACATTATGTTGTTTTTTTGTCAAGCTCGATACCATCCATACAATGGCATACTATTGCATACTATTGATGGGATATTTTAAAAATAGTTTGACAACCTTGTAAAAATGAAAAACGGAATGGCGGCGGAAGGCGAAATGGCCAATTTACAACAATATAAATAAATAAAAGTTATTTTTAGGTTAAGAAGATTTATAAGTGATGATTTGATGTAATTAGTAAGTATTAACAATTTAATTCAATATTAGGTGTTTAAGGACTTTGTTTATCATTGTTTTCTTAGCCTTAACACGAAATACAGGTAATTTCATTTTGAATCTATTTTCAATTCTTTTTTTAATATATTTGTAACAATATCAAAACATGTCTGATCCGGGTAAAGCATCGAAGGGTAAAACTAAGTATTCTTGTTCAGCTCCTAATTGTTTAAATAGGTATTCTTATATTCAGCAAGCTGGTTATTCAAATAAAACCTTTTTTCATTTTCCTTCGTATGTTAAAATTCGAGAGAACTGGTTTAAGAATTTAAATTTAACTTTTGATAATAAAACTCGCTATCTTTGTGAAGATCATTTTTTGCCAGAGTATTTTAGCAAAATTGCCATAAAACGTAAACGACTAATTGTAAATGCTTTTTTCAGAAAAAATAAAATAAAGCATTCTCAGTGTGTTAGTCAACTACTTTACCTCCTCATGGTGGGATGCGGGCAACAGTAAACAAAAAGCAAATTCTCACAAGAAGATTTTTTCAAACCTCGTAGTTGCTGCTCTTCATTTACTGGCTAAAGTTGGTAAGTACTAACAAATTCTTAATTTTTTATTTGTAACAATTTTGTTTGTTAAAGAGATTAGGACCAATTTCACCGTTGTGTTAAACGAAGTTAAAATGACATTGTTAATGTAAAAATGTCATTTTAAACTTCGTTTAACACAACGGTGGAATCGGTCCTTAATCAATTAAGCTACATTTTCCAAATTGCAGTAAACCTATACTAAATAATTTGATTGTTAAATTAACTAGTATTTTTATAAATTTCAATATAATTAATAGTCAATAAGTTTCACTTTTCCTCTTCATAGATTGAAACCTTGCCTTGGTGAGAGGGCTTGCGAACTTTAATGATTATTACAGAATTTAAAGGATATCCTTTTGATGTCTGTCAAAAATGAACTTGGCAATATTTTGATAAGAGAAATTGTTCAATAAGGTATGTACACTTTTTTTTGTTTTTATAGAAAACGCCTTGAGAAAACACCTAACCTGCATCGAACATTGGTCCATTTTCCAAGAATGAGAGGAGATTACTATTAATTTCACTTACAATTATTGTTATGTAGTATCGAGTACATGTTATGTATGTAATAAACGTTTACATGCACCTTACTTGTATTAAATTATTAAACTATACCTGTGTTTCAAGTATTTTAGTATAATTATTTCTTTATTTATATTTTTTGGAGTTTTATTACTTTAAAAAACTAATATTTATGTAAAATACAATATTTTAATTTAAATATTAGTTCTTTTTGAGTAATGAATTCCGAAAAAATGTAAATAAATAATAAAGTACATTTGAATAAACCGCGGGAAAACTAGACACTCTTCTTTTTATTTTCTTCTTCTGTGCTGCCTTTAACTGTCAAGCCAATTATGTAATATGCGATGGTGGCTCCAAATAGTATGCTGAGGAACTAAACGTGTTACCAGTGCCGTGCATGTAAACGATTTATCTTACATAATTTATCTATGGTTTAAACCGCAAAGCAGCTTGGAAAACCAAAGAGATATATGGGCAGGATATTAGTATACAATTGACAGGCACTCTTAGCTTGTAATCCTTATTCAGTGAAGTAGACTAGGTTAGACCCGGAGAAACAGTGGTCTTCTAATAATACCACAAGTACGTAACAGCTACTGCTTGGGGAAAATTACGTGTTGAAATGAAGTACTACTTCCTCACGTCACATAACAAATTGCCTTCAACTTTTCTAGCACTTCACTGCAATCTTTTCTAAGAAAATCCACATCTTCAGTTACTTTTTTTTATTCGGTCCCTTTGATTCTATTGATGTCTCTAGTTTTTCCTTTTTGGAAGTTTCTTTGATTGTTTTCGCGTTTTCTCAATCTAACAATTTTTTAAATACATACTTCGAATTTCTAAAAACCGAAAAATACTTTCATTTGCTGAAGTGTTATTTTTTATTTAAAAACGTTTCTAATTAAATATTTTTTAAAAATAGTGTGGCGCAAGCCATTTTTGACTATTCCGGTCATGCTCTAATCCCTAAAGTCCTTCTCTGACTTGTTTGGGCCTCTTACGACCTCCACGTTTCCAGTTACTAGAGAGTAAGTCAACCTCCAAAACCCCTAAGGATACGAAAAATACTCTCATTTGCTGAAGTGTTTATTTTTATTTAAAAACGTTCCTAATTGAATATTTTTAAAAAATACTGTCGTGCAAGCCATTTTTGTCTATTTGAGTCCCTCTCTGACTTGTTTGGGCCTCTTACGGTCTCCACTTTTCCAGTTACTATGAATATTCTATAGAGTAAGTCAACCTCCCGAAACCCATAAGGATACGCCCATAATCATGCCCATAAGTAAAAAAACTACAGTCTACTAGTAAAATTCTAGAATTACCGGAAGCAACAGCATATATAATGGTGGATCAACCGATGTATGTTGAGATACTGTTCAGCTATTAGTGGAAGACGTCTAGAATTTGGTAAATACATCTCGAAACTTGTCGAAATAACAATTTTTTGAAAATAAACTCTAGAAGGTATAGAATGTATTAGAACCGCTAATTTTCGCAGTGAAAGTTCAAATTATAGTTAGATATTGTTGTGTTAAGATAAAATGTCAAACTAAATTAGTTTGAGTAAAAATAAATTAAGTTGTAAAATATATTGGTGTATTTAGTGAAAATAAATTAAATAATAAACAGTTTGTAATAAATAAACGTTACAAAATTCCTTCAAATGTGGTAGACGGGTAGTAAACTGAAAAATAAACAACTTTTTCATTTAACAATTTTCGAAACGTCATTTTTTATTATTTTTGAAGCTAAATCTGTTCTTTAGCGATGAGTGACACTGTATACAAAAATGTTTAATGATTATAATTTCAAGCATAGTTTAATTATTTTTTGTCTGTATTATAAATCTTACATTGGTAAAATAACAGTAAAAAAACAACTATCGATATAAGTTTAGGGACTGTTAACTAACATTTTCAAAATAATAAACTATACTTTCAAACAATTGTTCTTTCTTCACTACCTTTACTTATCTAATTACAAATTCGCAGCACGTAGTGTGTGTTTCTATTATCTGACTGTCTTTCTCCTATTGCAGTTTAGCA